ACACACACACACACACACACACACACACACACACACACACACACACACACACACACACATATGCAGCGCTTGTGTGTGTTGAAGAGGGAGCCCTGCTTGGCATGTTGGCGTGCACAAGTGCGCTTAAAGGCTTTGCAGGCCTCTCAAAATGTAATATGTCAATAAAGTTGCTCACGATGGTTGTTGGTCTTCTTCCCCTTGGTGGGTCGACCACGCTGACGGGCCTACTCGCCGGCTCCCCCTGCTGTTCAGGAAGCCGTTGGCCTTCCAGGATCTGGACGCTCACCTGGAAATGTTGCTGTGTGAAGGCGAAACCGCTGACGACAGCGCGGGTATGTCTGCACATCACGCTCTTTGGCATCCCCCCATAAAAAATCCAACGTTCGGCGCCTTTTCCCGCAGACCGTGAGGTCGAAGGTCGTCTGGGTCCTCAGCCGGTGGTCCTGGACCACACCGGCGGCTTCGAGGGCCTCCTCTTTGTGGACGACGACCTGCTGGGGGTAGGGCGCCTTTCCTTCTCACAAGTTCCATAGTTGGCCGCCTTGACCAGGCCTTTTTGCTTGCCGCGCCCCCTTCAGGTGATTGGCCACAGCAACTTCAGCTCCATCCGGGCCACCACCTGCGTTTACAAAGGTGAGCACGGGCCGGGTGCACCGCCTGCTCGGATGCAGAAAACTTTGCTTGCCTTCGCTCAGCAATAACTAAAGATTTGGAAATATAGAAATTTGTCACCAAAACTTAATTTGAATATTATATTACTTATTTTTTTGTCAACCAAAATTGTTTTTAGGCAGACTTGTTTGTGCTAGAAAGATCAAAAGTTGCATTTGTGTGACTCAGTGATCAAAAAAAGCACGTTTTGATGAGCAAAAGTAAGCCACATTTTTATGGCACGGCTTGCTTTTGACCTTTGACCTTGGCATGCAGGCAAGTGGGCGTACGAGGTGCTGATCTCGTCGCAAGGTCTGATGCAGATCGGCTGGTGCACGCTCAACTGCCGCTTCAACCAAGAGGTGAGCGCTCGCCGGCGCCCCCGCCGATCTGTGACGGGCGCTCACTAACGACCGTCACCTCCCGCCAGGAGGGCGTCGGCGACACGCCTGACTCGTATGCCTACGATGGGAACCGAGTGCGCAAGTGGAACGTGGTCACCACCAATTACGGCAAGGTGAGCAAACGGCTGCCGACCCGATAACGACGTTGATGCGACGACGTTGACGCTGCGTTTTTGTTCGTGCGCTGGCAGTCGTGGGCAGCGGGCGACATCGTCAGCTGTCTGATCGACCTGGACGATGCCACCATCGCCTTCTGCTTGTAAGTCGCACGCGATCTTCATGTCTGTCATTATCCCCTTGTTTTAAGAGATTCCAGTCAATAATCCGACAAAATTTTTGCATGAAAAGGTATTACAAAACGGATTACTGTTTATTAACCAGTTATTATTTGCCATTGTTCAGTGATAAAATAAACTCAACAACAATTGCGCAGTACCACACAATAGGGATGTAAAAGTTTTTTTTTTCCAATAAAAATTGCAGACACATATTCTTGTGATCCTAAAGAACCAAATGTGCTTTTCCCCAAACACTTTTGAGGATTTTGTGGTCAAAGTTGCATTATTACGACTGCCGTGTACCCAGGAACGGCCAATCGCTCGGTACGGCGTTTGGCGACATCAAGACGGGACCCGGCGTGGCCTACTTCCCCGCCATCAGCCTGTCCTTCAAGGAGTCGGTGGCCTTCAATTTTGGCAGCCGGCCACTCAGATATCCTTCCGCCGCCGCCGCCTTTTGTCTCCTTTGTCTGGCCGTGCCACTGGCTATGTCCTTGACACGCTCACGTACCCGTGCGAGGGCTACCTGCCTCTGCAGGATCCGCCTGCCGCCGACCTACTCAAGGCTCACAAGCTGCTGGGCTTCGTGAAGAATGTCCTGTCCACGCGCATCGACGTGCAGGTCGTTTACCGCGTGCACATGCAAAAACAAGAACAACACAGCAACGGGCTTAGACACCAGAGAGCAACTCATGAGTCTGCGTCTGTGTGCGTTCTCGTGATTCTGTTTTTGTTTGCTTGTGCGTGCATGTGTCGTGCAGGAGGAGCGGGTGGTGGACACGGATTGTTCGGTGTGGAGACTTGATGGCGAGGCGACTGTCCTGATCACACTGGCGCACATCTTCAACCACTTTGCTCCTCTGATGGTGAGCGAGTGCGTCTTTTCTTTCCCTTTTCACTTGTTTTGTCTGCACGTGTTAGTGAACGCATCGCGTGCGTAGTGTAAAGTGTACCTGGTGGAGGACGTGCTGATGAACTTCCTGCTGGGGATCCTGGAGGGCGGCGGTTCCGTGGACGAGCATCCGCTCATCCAGCAGCTGCTCGACCTCTTCTGGCTCCTCATGGAGGTAAACGCTCGCGCACGCAACGCACGCGGGCACGACGTGACCTCATCGCTCACCCGCAGGACTACGAGGTGAATGAGTGTCTGAAGCAGTTGATGATGTCGCTGCTGAGGGCCTACCGCTTCTCCCCGATCATCCCCGACCTCGGATTCCAGGTACCCAGCGTCCCGCGTGTGTCTAGTATGTCTGCTTCATGTGTGTTCGTGTGCCCCTGTGTGTTGTTGAACTTTGCGCACGTCCTTTCAGATCCACTACCTTCGTCTGACGACGGCCATCCTGCGCCACGAGAAGTCCAGGAAGTACTTGCTCAACAACGTCTTATATCCTTGCGTGTCCACATGGTGGCGCCTGTCTCAGGCACACGTGCTCAGACACGGAGTTGGTGCGTGTTCTTTAACGTGAGGGCACGTTTGACGTGTTGCGCTCGGTGGTGTTCTTCTACATCAAGACCCCGCTGCGGGTGAAGGAGGCGGGGCTTGAGGAGCTGATCCCCACCACCTGGTGGCCCACGCATTTTGACAAGGAGGTGGGTGTATCCCCGCCATGTCACTCGCCCACCACCCCACTCCCGTATGCACGCCTGAGCGCGATTGTCCTCTTCCCCGTTAGGGAAAAGATGAGCGTGAGCCCAAAGACGAGAGTTCGGATGAGCGTCTGCGGCGGCGAGCTTACGAGCGAGGATGTCAGCGGCTGAAAAAAAGAATCGAAGGTGGGACACGCCCTTTCTCACAAACACGTTGAAGTGAATTGGAAGAGTGTGCAAAAGCTTGCTTGAAACTGTCCGTGAAATGTGTCCAAAACTGCACAATGCTGCAAAATACTTTGTGCCAAACTCAACGGAAGCCGTTCCTTCCTGGGTGTGTTGCAACTTCAACCAGGTCAAATACTCATTTGGTCAGTTATTCATACAAGACACCATTAGAATATCGTGACAAAATACTGCTCTGCATTCTCACGAGGGCGATGTCTCGCGGCAGCCAATCGCCCCGGACGTCCACGTCGCCGCGACTTGTCAATTTGTAAAAGATTTTGTTTTTCGTACATCTGAGTGAAGGGTGTTTTGATCATTAGCATGATCTCAGTCACATGACCCATTGCAGTGGTCCCAAACCAGTCAACAGTGAACAACCCAGTACCAGTCCATGGGTCATTTGGAAGATACACAAAGATTAAAAAAAAAAAATATCTATGATTCATCCTCAATATAGGTTACGTCAGCACTGCCTTCCCCTCCCTTGATTGTACATCAGCGCACGTTCCTCTTTCTAAGTCTCCAGCAGGTCTCGCCCTCTGCAAACTCAATTAGTCTCTGCGATGTAGAAGACAACAGAAATCAATTAAGTTGAGTGACTCATGTGGATGAGCGCACTCGTTCACCTGTTTGTGCAAAGTAGCTCTGCCTCCTCCTCGAACCGAAACCATGACGTGATCAGCGAGTGGTCAACTTAGTTATTCTGTCATTGTCGTGTAGGAAAGTCAACAAACGGATCTGCCTGTACACCTGGCAACTGCCTCGTGTGATCGCTTAAAAATTGCTTTTGTCTCCCTCTAGTGGTGGAGGAGTTGCAGGTGCAGATCCTCCGGCTGCTGCTCAACAACAAAGACAAGAGCACAGTACGTGCATGGATTTTTATTGTTTGTAACAAGAATTGTCTTGACATCATACAAAATGTTCAGATTGCAGCACGTGTTTGCTTTCAGTACACTGAGTGGCGATTTCCAAGAATTTAATTAAAAATGTTGCGATCACCGTTTGTTCACATTTTAATATTATGTTTCGATTTTTGGATCAAGAAAAAAATCTGGTTAAGTGTCACTGTAAAAGCGATTTTGTTGGTCAGTGTGTACGATCCGTAGATGCTTTAAAAAAAAATTATGAAGTCACTCGGGAGCTTGGAAAAATTGTAAAAATATAACAAGCAAATTACTCACTCACGAATGAATAACATCAATGAATGGCAAAGTGGAGATGTTGATCATTTGGACTTGACGGAACTTGCTTGCATCATTTGCTGAGTTTTTGGTGCCGTTTTGACTTTGCTTAGGGTGAAGCGTCCCGGTACATTTTCCTCAACAAGTTCCGCAAATTCCTGCAAGAGAACGCCAGCAACCGAGGGGTGAGAGCGAGCACTTCCAACTTTTAACACCACAACAGACAGCAATGAGTCACAGCCTTTCACTTTCACAGCCTCATTCCAAAATGGATGACTTTTGTTTTGTGTGTGTGTGTGTGTGCGCGCATGTACTGTAGACACCCACTGCCCTGTGCCCCCCCGAGTACATGCTGTGCTTCCTGCACCGCCTGATCACGGCCGTGCGCGCCTGCTGGGATGAAAGCTGCAAGAAGAGTCCGGGCAGCGTCAGCAGTGACGGTATGAAAGCCTGCCGCTGCCGTGCGTCCACTCGCCTGTCAGTCGCGTCCACTGACGCCATCTTGAAATGGCTGCAGTCTTGCCTGGTGACAAAAGATTGCTTCTCCGTCCACATTTTGTTTATGTCAGGCAGTAAATTAACTGGATGCATTCTTTTCATTCGCTGACACCCACATCCCTCCCCAAACCAGGCCCCGCCTCTTAAAGCCAATCACATTCAGATTCACAGATACAAGAGTGTTCGAAGTGGAGCCGGTGACCCCAAGTGGATAAAAGTGCACCACCTGCTGATGATTGTCAATCCGTGTCAGTCCTCATTCCGTGCTCTGACATTCCTCTCATTTCTTCTTCGTCTCGTCCTCTGCGGTGCGTGCCGCCGTGGCGCCCCTGTGTCTCCCGGTCGACTTGTCTGCAGCGGCGTTTGTGCCGCCGCAGCTCTTCTACAACGGGAAGGTGGACTACTTTGACCTGCAGCGGCTGGGCGGGCTGCTGTCACACCTCAAGAAGACGCTCAAAGGTCAGTCCACTCAGTCAGCAGCAAAAAGTCACATCAAACAAATAAAACAACTGCAAAATGGAAGACGACTTTGTAAAGACCAATCGTGCATGAAAAATATGAAAGCACACAAATTAGGAACAAATTCTTGTTTGTCTCACCTGCCCTGCGATTGGCTGGCAACCAGTTCAAAAAGCCTCTGGGTAAGTTCCAGCTCGGCCAATAAGGAAAAGCGCGGAACCGTATTGGAAGCCTCCTCCGGATCAGCGAGAAGGCGCCATTGCTTTGTGTCGCAGAAAGCAGATTGAACGCGGCGCATGTTGTAAAAATGACAATGTGTGACTTTTTGGCCTTTGGGCTGGTCTTCCTGCTTTCTTTCTTTTCTGTAGGGAATATTCATTTGATATTCGACTACTGTATATTGAGTTAAACGCTTGGTCATGAAATGAAACTCGCGCAGTAATTCACGGTACCTTGGTGCTTTCCTCATTTTTATGAAGCTATTCTGCAGTGTCCGTCCCTTCACCAATTTTCTGCAGCCGTTTAGCCTTTATTACGACTACATTACGTCTATTTACATGTCCATTTATTACTTGATTGATTGATTGATCAATGGTCCCTCGTTGATTTTTGTCTCGTTCCCTCACGAGCGTCGATGATTGAGCCGATTGACAGCATGATGCGTGACTGCTGCTAACGTTGAAGTCGATGGCGACCTTGTGCTCCCACAGACGACCTGGCGAGTAAGGCCAACATCATAATCGACCCCGCCGAGATCCAAGCGACGTCCATGGACGACCTGGACGAAGACGACGAGAGCGGCGCGGCGCAGGTTCGTCTTGGCTTGATTAAATTCAGCTCTATCTTGAGGCAGCACTCTCACTTTTTCCTATAATAATATGGCTTTGATAAACAAATGGAAAAAAACAACAGCTTTATTCATGTGGGGATGTGGGCTTTATTTGGTTCTTCCCTCCCCCTCAACTGAGCCATCGGTTGTTTTTTTAATGTCGTCCTCAGAGGCCGGCGGGGGCGTCGGCCGGCGGCGCCCCGGCTCGGCCTGGCTGGTTGAGCTCACCCACCCTGGGCCGCGCCAACCGCTTCCTCAGCACCGCCGCCGTCAGCCTCATGACCCCCAGGCGACCCCTCGGCCAGCCCGAGAAGGTCAAAGTACGCGCCCTCGCCATGGAGCAGCGCACCGAAGAGGACAGTAAGTCATCAAGGGCGAGGACTACTTCCCTGACCCTTCCTATCTTCTTGTCCCGTTACAGAAAAAATGTCATCGAAATGCACCGCTAGCAGCCAATAGGTGGCTTAGCTTTGGCCACAGGAAAATGTGCAAAAAGATGCAAACGCGGCCATCGCGTTGTCATCCTTCCTGTCAACGCTGTGATCTTTGTGTGTGTTGTGTTGTTTTCTTTTTCCCTCTCAAGTCGAAGGTAGCCACGGCAACGACGGCCTGTTGCTTGGGCGACCCGTCGACCAATCGCATCAGCCCGTGGCCGACAAATCGCTGCTGGAAATCACCGACGGGATCGTCATGATGTACAACCTCAGCGTACATCAGCAGCTGGGAAAGGTGTGGCCACTGTCAGCAGCTTCATCATCAGCATCACCATTTTGTATTCTCATCAATTCATTGATTTGTGTGTCGATTTTTTTTTTTCTCCTCCACGAATCGAATAATTTTTTTTTATTTTCCATCCTTTTAAAATAGGTTATGATTTCAAATGGAGAGTGCAGAAAATTGACACAAATTGACATGGGTCTGGTTCATGACACTCGTCAGAAAATCAGTCAAAATGTCGATGATTGTTTGACACGCAGGCGACCAGTCTATTGTTTGTGTAGATGTGGAGCGTGATCAACAGGCGACTGGTCCGTTGTTTGTGAGGATGCGTGGCGCCTGATTGACGGTCACTTGTGTCGTTTGCATAGATGGTGGTGGTGGCCGATGACGTCCACGAGTATGCAGCGGCCCTCAAAGACACGGACGAGAAGATCGCCCGATGCCCGCCGAGAGTAAGTGGGACGCCGCTTCCGCTGGTGTTGCACTGCGTTTGTCTTTGGCGGCCTTCTAATCCATTTTGGCTTTGGCTTTCCGCCGTAGAGATCGGACATCTTGGAGGAACTTCACAAGAGTCAGAAGGTCTTTGCCGAGAAGTTGAATCATCTCAGCAGGAGGCTGGCCTGGATCAACGCCACCATATACTCCAAGGTGGGTCCGCAAGTGTGCGTGTGCGCACGAGGCATGCCTCACCGCTGTTGTTCGCGCAGGAGAAGATGTTGGACGTGTACTGGCTGGTGCGCGTGTGCATCGGCACCATCGAGCGCGCCGATCGCACGGGCTCGCTGTTCGCCTTCATGCCCGAGTTCTACCTCAACGTGGCCATGTACGCCTACAACGCGCTCAAGAACTACTTCAGTCCCGCCAGCAGCATGGACCAGCTGCCAGGTGAGTGCGCGCCACCCTCGGACGTACAGACTATATGATGCACTCCCACTGAAGTAGCCTTTGCCGGCTGAAGCCAGAGGCCAGCCATCTTGCGTTGCCACTGTTACTGACAACTTGCATTGGGATTTGGCTGAAAACACTGTTATCAGTTCGTGTTTTACGCAGGCATCCCTGTGTGGAGTCATGAGAGCCTTGCGAAGAACCAACTTTCTGCATCAACGTTTCAGAGTAGATGATCTCAGTATGGTGAATCGTGACTTACAGAGGTTGGTTTACATTTTGCAGCAATTTTTTACTCGATGGGCTTCGCTTTCATTTCATTATTGATGGTTCTGACAACGCGATGCAGACCAATCTTTGAGTAGCACTCAGATCTGTACCTCAGAAGATAAAATTTGTAATTGCATTCTTACCGACGAAATGTGCACGTAGCGCTTCTCCCAGACTTCTTGGATACAACCGTATGCCACACACTGTGGCATTTGTGCTGCAGAGACAGAAACTAATGTGAAAACACTGCAGAGTAATCGTGAATCCAAGTGAGGTGCGCTATACGGGCGGCAATGCAAGATGGCTACCAGTGGCTTCCCTTCTCGCTACGGCATTGTGCATCCATCACAGATGTGTCAGTGGTGCCAACGCACCACGCACGCTCCCTCCCTCTCAGGTTAGGATCGACCCAACCTGCCAATCTGACTTTGTCGTCCCCGCAGGCTATGAAGAAACGTTGACTCAGCTGGCAGCCATTCTTGCCAAACACTTTGCGGATCCACGCATCGTTGGAACAGGTCTCTCAAACACACACACACACACACACACACACACACACACACACACACACACACACCATTTATGATGTTTGTTCTCCGATGAATTGTGGGAAAGCCCATCTCAACTAACTTTGATCCAAAGATGGGATAACTCCCCAGAAGTTTGCCACTCCATGTTAGGGCACAAAGACAAATTAATGACAGGTCGCTCGCTGGTCAGTCAAGCACTTTTTGTTTTCCTTACAACATTCTCATTAACACTCTTTAAAACTAGACTTGCTACACACTTATTCTACGCTGGACTGCTTAGTCCGTTGAATCTGATTTTTATGATTGATCATTTTCATTTATGATTCATGTTCTGCTATTGTTATTGTACTGCTTCTTTAAATTAGGTTGTACGGTGCCCTGAAAGGCACCTCTGAATAAAATGAATTGTTGAAACACCTCCCTCACTCCAACAAATGATGTCATTGGCGTGCGGCGCTTTTGTCTCGTAGACATCAAAGACGCACTGATGCAGGCGCTGGCCAGCTACGTCTGCTACCCGCAGTCCCTCAGGGCAGTGGAGAGGATCGCCGAGGACCAGTGAGTCGCGCGTGCACGCCGCCGGTGGCCATCTTGCTAGCGTGCACTTGTGCTTTCAGACGTGTGGCCATGATGAGGAACCTGCTGGCCCCCTACGAGCAGAGACCCTGGGCGCAGACCAACTGGATCCTGGTCCGGCTGTGGCGGGTGAGGCGCACGCTTTGTTCGCCGTCCACACGCCGTTGCTTTCAAAATCTAGCTTCATTCAAGGACGCACAGATGAAACCAAAGGAAAAAAAATCATGTCACAGAGTGTGCTGCTTTGACTTAGCAGTTGAATTTGCTCCGGCATCCAGCTCCAAATTCAGCTTGCTCATATTATGTCTCATTCGGGCTTGATTGTGGCTTCTGCCACCTTGTGGAAGACCTTGGAAGTGTTATGTTGGTCACAGTTGATCATGACAGGATCATATTGGCACTTAAGTGAAATCTGAAGTGACGTTTGGTGTGTGCGTGTGTTGCAGGGCTGCGGTTTTGGCTACAGGTACACACGCCTGCCGCACCTCCTCAAGACCAAACCCGAGGACGCCAACCTGCCCAGCCTCCAGAGTAGGTTACCCATTTCATCAATGAGTTGGCGCGTCATACCTCCGATGCATCCGTTGCCTCGTCAGTCAGCCACCACGTGAAGTAGGGTGACGAGGCAACAGATGGCATGCGTGCACATGCGCAGGCGTTTCCCAGTTTGATTGACAGCATGCGAGTGGGCGGGTGTGAATTTGATTGGCAGCAAGTGCTTGCATTGAAGTGGCCATCTTTGATTTAGTCATGTGACTTTTTTGTGACACATTGTGACACACTTTCTGTCCTGCACGCTCACACTTTGTTGTCATTGTCGTTGGTTTTTGTTTTTTTGGGGGTTTTTTTGCATGCCGATGAAGGGGATTTGACCGTTGCGAGTTTCCAGAGTAAGTTTTCTTTAATATCTTTGTATGTCATTGTATTTATTTTCTTATTCATTTACAATTAATGTCGTAGCCACAAAAAGTTATTTAATTCATTTGATCCCATTTTAAATTAATTTTCCAGGAAAATGTTAGCTTCTCATTTTATTTATTTGAGTTTTCCAGAATTATTTTTCCAGCCTTCCTTTTACCTGATTTTTTTTTCTAAATTTCAGAATTTAAAGCCTCCTTTTGTTTTCGTTTATTTTCCAAATTCCATCCATCCTGTTAGAATTTTGTTTTTTTTGTTTTTTTTGCTTTGTATTGGTCTTGGGTGAATGTGTTTGTTTTCCCCTGTGTCCCGCTTCCAACTCTTCCTCCCTCATCACCATCGTCATCATCCTTTCGGGGGATGTGTGGAAGCTTCGGTTGGTTGGATGTAGCAGCCATTCAAATTAGTTGCCGCGCTTCCCTGGTAGTTGGTCTCGCCGGCAACCGTGTCGGTTTCCTCCCAATTTACCATCATGTGACCCGTGAGCTGCTCCTGGTCTCCAGAGCCGTGTCCATCGCTGCTGCTCCAGAGACACATGGCCCGCCTCCTGAGCGCCGACAAAGACATGGCCGCCTCCTTCCTCAACAGTGTCCTCAATCAGCTCAACTGGGCCTTCTCCGAGTTCATCGGCATGATTCAGGAGGTAACGCCCGCTTGCCCGACCTCGGTCACGCAAAGACACGGCCGACTTCGACCTGGCCTGTCTTCCGCTCTTTACGCGTCTTGTCCTTGTTGCAGATTCAGCAGGCAGCCGAACGTCCAGAGAGGAACTTTGTGGACACGCGTCAGCTGAAGGTCAGCGCACGCCGTAAAATTATGCTGCTTGACGTTGTCAAAACCCTGCCACAGTTTGGCTTGAAGTGCTTTTGCCACAAGTTCTTCAACACAAATGGCAGGTAAACGAGCCGAGAGGTAAATGAGGCGACAAGTTAAACGAGCTCAATCTCCGGAGCTTGTTTCTCTGCCGGTTGAGTACAAGCACAGTGGCTGAAGCCAAACAGTGACTTTCTGGACTTTCATTCTCCACCTCTGGTTAGACCACATGATCTTAGGCTGCGCGACAGCAAGGTGGATAACGGCACACCACAAAACACAGCTAGTCCAACGTCATGCCACCACCCGTAATGCCAAATAACGTCTCTCGCCATGACATCACGCCGCCTGATGTAATCTTGACATAATCAGCATTTTTCTCAACTTCACTTGATTATCTATTGCTGCATACCAAGCCTATGGTGTAAAAATCAATCACCCAAAAACAAAGGGTGTGAAAACAGTAAATTAATAACAGAAATTAATATATTTTTTATTACAGTATCATAATAATCAATCACTTAATCACTTGTCTATCCTGTACTAATATGAATGGCCACTGAGTGATGGTGGGCTCAGCGGTGTGTCGTGGCGTTGCAGGTGTGCGCCACCTGCTTCGACCTGTCCGTCAGCCTGCTGAGGGTTCTGGAGATGACGGTCACGCTGGTCCCGGAGATCTTCCTGGACTGGTCGCGTCCGTCCGCTGAGCTGCTGCTGCGCCGCCTGGCTCAGGTGGGCGCGCTGTTCACCGCCGCCCCCCCCCTGTGATGGGATTTTGGGCGAGGTGTTGACATGCGATTGTGGTGTGCCGCAGTTGCTGAATCAGGTGTTAAATCGGGTGACGGCCGAGAAGAACCTCTTTGACCGCGTGGTGAACTTGCGATTGCCAGGTATGCACGTGTAAGCCGCTGTGCCACGCGTGTTGCTTTCGTGACTCATGTTGTTGTTGTGTGTTTGAGGTCTGGAGAGCGTGGACCACTACCCCATCCTGGTGGCCGTCACTGGCATCCTCGTTCGACTTCTTGTGGATGGCGATCGGCATGGGTGAGTCACACGTCATGCGTTGACTACAACACTTTGTTTTACACATGTTTCGTATTGAGTGTCGTTTTAAGGAGCATGAAACATGTTGATTTCGAATCATAGAACTCTGCGTGTGTATGTACATACGTGGGCTTTTTATTGAAAGAAGCCATTTGAGAGTAGAATTATTTTTCTTTCCCCCCTTTGGACAAACTTGCTGTCTCACTTCCTGTCTGCAGCTGATTAGAAGATGTTGTAGACTACAATATGCACATGCCTGACGATGATAATTTCATTAGCGCATGTGTGCGTCGATGTGAGGGGGTTTAAGCCCGCCTTGAGTAAAAGGTTGAGGTTTGGTTGAGCAAGTGGCGGTTGCAGAGTGGTGCACGATGGGGAACCACAGGAAGTGTTTTAATGGATGCTGCTTGAGTGCGATGGGGGAAAAGTGCACAACATGGAGAAAAAAGGGCCAATGTTTTTTAAGTAGTCTCAAACGTGGACAACACTCTGGAGTTCTATAGTTATTAAAGTGTGTTTGTGTGCGTCCGTGTGTGCGTCCGTGTGCGTCCGTGTGTGTGTGTGTGTGTGTGTGTGTGTGTGTGTGTGTGTGTGTGTGTGTGTGTGTGTGTGTGCGTGTGCGCGTGAGGCTGCCCCCTCCCCTCTTGCCAC